CCCCTCCGGGCCCTCTCCGCCACCGGCCCCCGCCCCCCCGCACACCGAGCAGGGCCCCACATTGCAGCAGACCGAGCAGGGTGCGCTCAGGGCCGGCAGGCCTGGGCCGGGTTGCAGCGGGGACGGGAGCACCCCACGGTGCTGGCGCTTGAGGTGGCGGCCCAGGCTGGAGCGCGAGGAGAAGCGGAGCTCACAGACCAGGCAGCAGTAGGGCTTCTCACCAGTGTGGACGACCTGGGAGGGAGGGAGGGAGAGCGTAGCATCAGGGCTGAGGGTCTGGCGCGCAGGTCAGCTTTTGGGACTCCCAGAAGGGTGCGGCCCAAGCTCCCTGCAGCTTCTACAAAGCCCCATCTAGCTTCAACCCTCTCACTTGACTTCCCTAATTTGGGTCATGTTGGCATTCTTTCAGTCCCTTCATTTTCAGGACCTTTGCACGTGCTGTTCCTTAAAGCTGGAAGACTCTTCCTCCCATTCTTCCAGACTACCTCTTAACTCATTTCAACAAGCCCACCTAGGAGACTGGGACTCCCTGGGAGAGTGGCCAAGTACTAGGGCTCTGAGCACTACCAAAACTGGGTTCAAATCCCAGCTCTGCTTTCCACTCTCAGTGACAAATGGACAATTAAACATCATCTCTGGGGCTCTGCTTTTCTCCTCTGTACATAAGCACAATAAGACATGCCACTTCACAGGGTTCTTGTAATGATAGGATAAAATCATCACTAAAGAACAACTCAATTACTAGAAATTAGGATTATTGTTGACAAACTTTCCAATGTCCTACTGATGTCCTTTACGGCAGCAGATGTTGGGGAAAGGTGAAGAGGAGCTTTTATAATCCCCAGGGGTAGGAGGTGGCTTTTCAAGGTACATGTCCAAACTTCTAGAGCAAAAACTGTCCAACAGAACTTTCTGCAATGATGGAAATGTTCTCTATCTGCCACTGACCAGTGTGGCAGCCACCAGCGACATGTGGCTCTTGGGCACTTGAAATGTGGCCAGTGTACCGTGCAAGACTGTGCCTTACAGATATTGGCCTTTGTCTGGGAGTAGCAGAGACAGATTTTGAGCGACGAGTCCTTTCGATTGGTAGTGCCTGCCTGGAGAACTGTAAGGCTAAATGAGAAAACACAGTGCTCTCTGCTGCCCAGCGTGAAGCCCTGTGGCTCCAAGGGTGTGTCCAGCCCAGAGAGGCCCGTCTGGGTCCAGCCTGCGGAACTCACCTGGTGGTGCAGCAGGCCGGTGGAGTCTCGGAACCCTTTAGGGCAGGCAGAGCAGCGGTAGGGCCGCTCGCCGGTGTGTGAACGCAGGTGGTTGGCCAGGTTGAAGCTGTGTTTGAAGCCCTTGCCACAGCGTGGACACGCGTGGGGTTTGAGTGCAGTGTGCCGGGCGAAGTGGCGCCGAAGGTCCGAGCGGTAGCGGAAGCTCTTGCCGCATTCACTGCAGTGAAATGGAACCCGGGGAGCAGCAGCGGGAGGTGCTGGGGCCGGGGCCGGGGCAGGGACCGGGGGCACGGGCAGCGGGGCATCATCCATGGTGGCGTGGTGCGAGGGCAGTAGCAAATGGAGGCTCTCTCTGGAGCAGGGAGGAGACATGGGAGGGCAGGTGGAGTCAGCTTCCCATGAGCCCTCTCCATCAGGCTCCCTGGACTCACACACCCACCGTCTGTTCCCTGGAAACCCTACCCACTTCCCTCCAAGCCACACCCACCATTCTGTAAGCCCCTCCCACTCTCCTACAAACCCTTCTCCCACTCATCTGCCGATCTTCCTAATCAGTGCCAGGTCACTTCGACCCTACCGGACGGTTTTTAAGCCTCTCCCCTTCTTTTACAATGGACTCCCCACTCCTCTCTAAACCCCGCCCACTCTCAATCAAGTCCGACCTAGTCCTCCCAAAGTCCCCACACTGTTCCCGAAGCGTCTTGTATTCCTTGACAAGACCGTTCTGAAAGGCCCTCCCACTCTTCTTCAAGAGTGAAAATCATCTTCAGATAAAGATTCACATTCCTAGGGAATGAGAGGACAAAGATTTGGGGCCAAGTGCACTTGAGTCAACCTTCCAGGGCGACCAGAACCAGTCCTGGAACCTCCAGTGAAACCACCTGAAACTCTGTCCATCTGCAAAATAGGGAGAAGGGGAGTACCTACCTCATGGAGTGGAGGTGAGGATTACGCAAAACTGGGGCAATGCGCACTGCGCGCTTCCTTAGGCAGGGCACAGCAAGAGCTCAACAGGTAAGCTGTTCTAACTACTACTATCCGCTAGGCTCCTCTGAGTTCCCTAAGTCCCACCATCTCTTCTCCGCTAAGGTCTGCCTCCAAAACACCACTCAGTGTTTCCTTGAAACCTAGCCTGGAAGGAAGCCCGGTCCTTTGCAAGACCCTCCCCTCAACCTCTCGTTCTCAGCCTTCGCCTGGGAGCCCCTCCCTACCCCTGTTAAGTGGCTGCACTTAACGTTATGAAGACTTACTACTTCCACTAAGACTAGCCAAGTTGCACACCTCAATCCCATCACCTCACCGTGCCTACTCCTAGACCAACTACTCCTCTTCTACTCCAAGCGGCGCCCACCTTCGCCCTGAGCCCCATTTCCCCACTCAGCCCCAGGTAAGTCCCTTCCATCCTTCAAATCCAGGCCATTTCCATTCTAAGCCATGCCCACACGGGAAGCTCCTCCCTGCGATTGCTCCGCCTCTGCCACCACGAAGCCCCGCCTCCTTCCCACCCAGTCGCCTGCAAGGCTGCCCCCCCCACCTCCCCAGTCGGCTCTGGGACCGAGGCCCCGAGTACCGGCCTTTTGTGCCCCTCCCCCCTGTCCCTAAAAGGTGCGGCCCGGGGCGCCCGGGGCAGGAGCAGGTCAGGCGGGACCCGCAGCCGGGCGAGTCCACCTCGCTCGTTCGGAGCGGGGGTTCTGGAGCCCTGGGGCGGCCCCAGGAAGCCGGGAAAGTCAGTCGGCTTTTCTCTTTAATTACTTACACCTCCCTCTGGGCGCCGACATTTTGGGCAGCGGGGGCAGCGTCACTTCCACCCGGGGGCCCCTCGACTTCCGCCTCGGCTCCCTTCTCCCCCACACTCCTCCTTTCTCCCGCCCCCTTGGCTTCCCCCTCCTCACCGCCCGCCCTTCTCCCTGTTTCCCGTCCCATCCCCTAGCACTGGAGGTTGGAGAAGCCAGGACGGCGCCATCTTTGATGAAGGCAGGCTAGGGGCGGGGCCTAGGGTGACTCACGGCGCCGTACAGCCTAAGGGCAAGAAGCTCCCCGCGCGGCCTCTTTCCCCTCCGTGCCTGCCCTGACGGGTGTTAACATAGATCAGGGCAGATTTGATTCCCGTTTCGCAGCCTCAGGCTCCTTCTGGTAGAGTTGCACCAGGATAAAAGAAAATTTGAAGTTCGGCCACTGTGGTAGAGCTAGGAGGAAAGAGCATGTTCCATCTTGTCAGCCCTCCAGGGCGCTTTGAAGCCTGTCAGGCGCCATGTTAATTACGGGAACAAGCAGCCATTTTCCCGCTCCTCATCCTTGCGGTACCTGTCTTTGATTGGGTCACCCTACTGGGTGCTTTGTGGGAGGAAAGACATTTCGACGTGGTTGGGAATGTATTGGTGGGGTTATTTCCCGCTCGGGGCCAGTAAGGGCGACGGGCGCGCAGGCGCCTGTTCCCTGCGAGTACGTGACCGGTCCTTAGGACCCAGCGCGTCCTCTTTGTTCCCGGCGGGCGCGGGCCCGACGG